CCATTCACTCCTCCCGATGCTGGGGAGATGGTTCTCCTGCTCCTCGAGTCCCTGTGAACTTAAGATCAAGTTTCAAGGCATCAGAGATGTTATGTGACCTAGTTAAAAGCATTCCCACATGCAGCGTGACTTTTCAGAGGTTTTTCATGATACAGCCTGCTGCAGCCCCCAGTCAGGGTATCAGGTGGCTGTAACTGCTCAACTCCTGCTGCACGCAACAACTTATGGCCCCTAATGCACCACCAGCAACACTGCAGCTGCTTTACCCACACATTTGGCTACTTGCTTGTGCCAAGCCTGGGTCACTGAAGACTACAAACCCCGTACTTTAGTGGCACAGCACTCACCCAGCCCTCCTGCAGCTGCAGACTCAGGATAAACATGAATCTGCCTCAGGGGTGCCAAGTGATAAAGTGATCTTGGAGTAGCAGCGCTGCTGCTTCACAGTCCCCATAACTCCAGCAGCACCACAGCAACTTTGTCTTCTCCCCCAGGCTGCACAGGCAAGGGAATGTGTATAAGAGACAGGGGGAGAAGTGAGCGCATGGCTGTGTGGGGCTTAATTGCCAACAGGAGTTATACCAGGACACTAGGATTGGAACCACAAGTTAAAATAACAGTTGTAAACAATTATATTATGTTAGGTTTTTACTTGCTAGTATATGTGAGAGCAATGGAAGAATAAAACTGACATAGTATCAACTAGCTATACCTTTCATTATGATAAGGTAAATCTAGATGTTAATTAGAGAAGTAGAAACAGTATTACTTTTGATTTGAAATCACAGCTGACATTTCCTTTTTTGTTCCTATTTAAATGTTTTAAGGGCTTGCCTAGAGCACACATGTAATTCAAATAAGCTCAGAAGGACAATCACTCCTCAGTAATCAAAAATAAAAATCTGTTTTTAAAACTACGCATTTTACTCGTTGAAGGGGTGAAAGGTGCCATAGTCCTACCTTATTTATCCCATTGCTACCAAACTCAAGTCTTTGTTTGCTGATCTTGTTGCAGTATGGTAAGAAACAAGCTCTTGAAGTTTTTCTGTCGCTGTTGCTCCTTTGCAGCTGTTTCATTTTGGTGAATATAGTTGTCAGAGATCCTCTAAAGGAGGACTTGGTCGTTTTCTTTGCTCTGGTTGACCATATTAGAAGCTGAAGTTACTCAGCACTTCAAGAGATCAAGCCCACATACCTGGTTACACACTTTCTTTGCATATTTTGTTTTTATGCTTTGACCTTTTGCTACTCATTTGCAAATTAAACAGGAAGGTGGGGGGGGGAATCTGCCCTCTAGCTTTGCTCTTCAAGCCTCCTAATATGCCTAGCTGTCTTGTTTTGGTAGCACGTACTTGTTTTGCTTTATTACATCCAAGAAGAGTCTATAGCTTGCATAAATAATTGACAACTCACTATTATATACTTGTTTATTTTTAGACTTTCTTCAAGAGAATTATCCATCCTTTGATCTAAAGGAAACGGGATATGATTGGAAGGCATGCGTGGCTGCCATAAACAGCACAATCCGCAGTCTCAGACATGACCATAAAAAGGCTACAGTTGGAATCCGCCGGAAAGTCTTGGCAGCGCCACCATTGAGTGCAAAGAGTCCTCCACAGAGTCCTACTTCAGTAAAGCCATTTGAAAGTGACACTATCAATCTCACAGACTGAAACTCTCTAACATCCGGCTCAAATTTTAATTTAGCAGGTTTTTATAAATCCCACCTAGAACCTATTACATTGAATTGTCCTATTATACTGAGTTGTCAGCAGCAATTAATAGTATTATTTCATGAGACCAAAGTTAGCAGAAGACTTGGGAACCCTAACTCCTTGTATAAGTAGCATTTGTGCTCCTCAGAAATTACTTCCACTGTTTTCTGTAGCACTTAAAATGTTCTCTCCCCTAAAAGCACCTTCTCATGACTCATTGACTGGAAGATTAATCTGATTTGATGTGCAGTGTATCTTTTCTAGTCAGCAGAAGCAGCTAGAAGTGTGGAGAGGAAAGAATGGTCCTCCTTGGATGAAGAATTGTAGGCAGCTACATTATCTCATTATGTGTGAGGAATAAAATTTGCTTTGACAATTTGATATTTTAAGCAAAAACATCTAATGCAGAAAGGAAAAAAAAATGTTTTATTGCATCTAGCTAACTTGTTAATGTGTTTCACTTTTTTGCCTCCTATAGCAGTGTTTGTTGTAGGGTAAGGAAAGAGGCAGGCAACAATGTAAGTACAGTTAGTGACATTTTCCTTTGCTCTGATTTAGCTCTACAAAAGCACAAGAAAAGCATCCAGAACAGTCTAATCGTTACTTCTGTTTTCATGATGAAAATTAAAGAAAATACTACTTCAGGGTCTTGGTCTGCTGTTCGTTGGTATATGTGTCATCCCCTGCTGTGGATGTCCACAAGATGCAAATCTGCTTCAACTTTCACCTTAGAGGATTTGGATCCCAGTTCAGATTTAAGAAATAATAATTTCCATCAGCTTCAAGTCATTGGTCCTTCAGTTAAAACTGAGGACACATGCTGTACTGTTAGTATACAGTCAGAGATCACCAGCATCAGTGGTATGCCTTCCCAAGCCCATAGCTTTTAACATTCAGGTCTGCTGTGATAGTTTTAAGCCCTTCCGGGATCGGAGACCATGTTGCCGTTGTCCTTCCCCCACCCTTGGACACAAGTAGGGCACAAACCCCGGGTTAAAATAAGAAGAAATTTAATACAACAGTGTAATAAACAATCTGAACAACAACAATAGTGATAATAACAACAACAAACAGCAATAACAGTAAACAAGACAAAAGATATACAGAGAAATACCGCAGTGGTTACAGACAGCCTGTCGCATGCTCCCTACCACGAAAGCCACAAAGGAAAAAGCTTCCCGCATTGCCACGCTGGACCTGACATCAGCATGTTATGATCAGCATGGTATGAATAACCCTGCTGGAGAGCCCTTCCCCTTGCTTGGGAGAAAACTTAACCCTATCCTAGCTGAACCAGGACATCTACAAAGCTAGGCGTGTTTACTTTGCTATCTGGGTAGGCTGCTTGTCTAGAGGCTTGTCATCCTGCTTTTGTTAACTTAAAATCTTGAAAGATGTGCAAGGATTATTCTCAGAGTCACAGAATGGTTGAGGTTGGAAGGGACTTCTGGAGGTCATCTGACCCACTCCCCCTGCTCAAGCAGGGCTACGTAGAGCCAGTTGTCTATCACCATGTCAAGACAGCTTTTGAATGTCTCCAAGGATGAAGACTCCACAACCTTCCTGGTCAACTTGTACAAGGGTTCAGTCATTGTCACAGTAAAAAACTTTCTGATGTTCAGAGGGAACCTCCTGTGTTTCAGTTTGTGCCCATTGCCTTTGGTCCTGTCACTGGGCACCACTGAGAAGAGCCTGGCTCTGTCCTCTTTGCAACCTCCCCTCAGGTATTTATAAACATTGATGAGATTCTCCTTGAGCCTTTTCTCCAGGCTGAACAGTCCCAGCTTTCTCAGCCTTTCCTCACAGGAGAGATGCTCCAGTCCCTTCATCATCTTCATGGCCCTTTGCTGGACTCTCTCTGTTATGTCTGTGCCTCTCTTGTACTGGGGAGTCCACAGCTGGACCCAGCACTCCAGATGTGGCCTCACCACCACTGAGTAGCGGGGAGGAATCGCCTCCCTCAGCCTGCTGGCAACACTCCTACTTGTGCAGCCCAAGGAACCATTAGCCACCTTTGTGGCAGGGGCTCATTGCTCACTCATGTTCAACTTTGTGTCCACTAGGACATCCCAGGTATGCTCTGCCCATCATCCAGGTCATTAATGAAGATGTTGAATAGGTCTAAACCCAGTACTGACTCCTGGGGTACACACTGGCTTCCAGCTAGACTTCATGACGCTGATCACCACCACCCTCTGGCCCTGGACATTCAGCCAGTTTCCAATACCTCTTACTGGTGGCTTATCCAACCCATACATCAGCAGCTTTTCTGTGAGGATCTTATGGGAAACAGTGTCGAAGGTCTTCCTCAAGTCCAGGTAGACAATATCCACTGATTTCCTTACATACCAGGCCAGTCATTTTATCACAGAAGTTTATCAAGTTGGACAAGCATGACCTCTTGGTGAAGCCATGCTCTGACTGCTGATAACTTTCTTGTCCCTTACCTGCCTGGAAAGGATTAGCTGCTCCATCACATTCCCAGGGATGGGGGTGTGGCTGACTGGCCTGTAGTTCCCTGGGTCATCTTCCTTGTGCTTCTCAAGGTAGGAGTGACATCTGCTTTCATCCAGTCTTTGGGCACTTCTCCCATTCACCATGATCGATGAAATGTTACCAAGAGTGGCCTTGCAGTGACATCAGCCAGCAACCTAGGCTCTTGTGGGTACACTTTGGATTTACATAGAACCCGTTTGCTTTATTCCCTGACCAGATCCTGTTCCACCCAGTGTGTCTTCCTTGCTTCAGCCTTTCCCCCTGGTCTCTGGGATCTGGGATTCCTGAGGGCTGGCCTTGCTAGGAAAGACTGAGGCAAAGCACTTGAAAAGTACCTCAGTCTTTTCCATGTCCTGTGTCACCAGGTCCCCCATCTCATTCAGCAGCAGGCCTACACTTCCCCTAGCTTTCCTTTTGTCATCTCTGCACTTACAGAAGCCCTTGTCTTTGACAACCACACCACACTTTGACATCTGTCACCACATTTGGTTCCAGTTGGGCTTTAGCTTTCCTAACTTCATCCCCACGTGCTCAGACTGTCACTGCAATGTCAGTGCATTCCTCCCAGGTCACTTGTTTTTTCTTCCACTCCATATGCTTCTTTTTGAGGTGGTCCAAAAGCTCCTTGTTCATTCACACACACCTCTTGGCATTTTTGCCTTACTTATTGTTTGTTGAGATGGATCTCTCTGAAGCTTGGAGGAGGCGATCCTTGAATTTTAACCAACTTTCTTGGGCCCATCTTTCCTCCAAAGCACTAATCCCATAGGACTCTTCCTAGCAGGTCTTTGAGGAGACCAAAGTCTGCTGTCCTGAATTCCAGGATTGTGAGCCTCTTTTTTTACACTCCTCCCTCCCCTCAGGATCCTGAACTCCACCAACTCATGGTCACTGCAGCTAAGGCTGCTTTTGACCTTCACATTCTCAACAAGCCCTTCATTGTAGGTGAGTATGAGGCCCAGAAAAGCACCTCTGCTTTTGGCTCCTCTGTTACTTGGAGGTAGAAATTATTGTCAATAATGAATATTCATGACCTTTCCTTTCTGTCCACACAACACTAAGATTTACTAGTGCACTGAATTATATATTTTAAAAATACCCAAAACGAAACAAATTAGTTTTGTAAAGTACTTGGATGTTGAACTCACAAAATAAATAAAAATTAATGTCTATATATATATATTCAATTTCACATCCCCCTCGGTTTCATTTGTAAGTTGAAATTCAACAGCAGTAACTGTACAGAAGTTAATGACTTTTTTGTTGGGTGGGTTCTTTGTTGTTTGGGGTTTCACGGTTGTGTTTTTTGGTTTTGGGTTTTTTTGTTGTGTTTGTTTTCAAAAGAGGAGATTATTCGGTATATGCCTTTCTGTTACTTTTCCAACATCAGTGACACAGGCCTCTCACTGTCTGTTGACTGACAGGTGCGTGAACTTGTGTTGTCACTTGCATTATGTTTGAGTGTAGTTTCAGATGTCCAGCTCTTTCACAGAAAGAAGCTTCTCAGAAGGCTGATACAGGGAACCATTTTTACCTCTGAAAGTTGATGCAAATGTGACCTCCAAAATTATGCCTGTGTACATAGCAGAACAAGATTCAACTAATCTATCCTCTCCAAGGCAAGGGTTGCATAGTTTAGGTTTTTTGTTAGCAATAGCATAAAATAGTGAAGTTACTTGTTTCTATTCATAACAAACAGACAGTGTTTTTATATACAGTATAGGATCAGCTTCTTTATTGCAAGCTAGGATATGCAATGGCCTTACCAGGTATGAAATTAGTAATTTAAGTTTCCTTACCACATCCTTGCAGAAGTCTTCTGTAGGATTTAAGAAATAGGCTGAATTTCTGGGGTTTTTTTACTAGAAATGTTGTACTGCAGATTTGGCATTCTGGTTTACTATTAACAAATGCTATACAATTGTTCTTATAAATATCAAGAACTTTGTTGTGTGTAGATAGTACTAGTTTCAAACCTCAGAAAAAGCCAAAAATGCTTATATTTTTTCAGTAGTTTTATGAAACTTTTTCAGTCCTTCACAGATTTTAATGGTAGAACTATATATTTATTGAATGACCTGTCTGGCACTGAAATCTGTTAGTGTGGTGCATACCTATAGCTTCCATATTGAAAAGAAAATTGAATAATTGAATAAAAGTAGAAATAATTTTCTTGTTTCTGTTTCATATGTATCAATTTTTGCTAACTTCTATAAAATAAAATTACAGTATTTTGCTCTTAGGAATAAAGTATTTTACAAATAAAACTAACATATAGCTCCTTGACTACATACATGTGTTTTAAATATTTCTTGCACCATGGATCTACAGTTCAGGTACGATTTAATCTGAAGAGATTATTTTGGTCTCCTTTCAAGAACCAGGGCTGTAAGGAGGTCTTCTGATTGAGGTGAGATGATTTCCAAATTTGGACTGCCTTAACTGACTTGGCAAAGCAAAGCAAACCCTTTTGGACTTTACTAATACAACTTTGTGAGCTATCTGAAACAGATTTTCACAAAAGGGTAGTAGGAATTGAGTAAAATTTATAAGAACTCCTTTGAACTGGTGCATTTTTAGTAAACTAGGCCTTATTCACACAGGGGAATCACTTTCTGTATTAATCCTTTTTGAAGGAATAAAACAGGGCTGGAAGGTAACCTGTTCATTTGAAACACGGAATTCACCACCTGGTCTCCATCTTTGCAATCTTAATATCTGTCCCTAATGCAATACAAGTCCTTCCTCTGTAGAGTAGAGCTGGGCTGCTTTATTCATGCATGGTTGATGGCTCTGGAGCTGAGACAGCATTTCATAGTCCTTCCGGTACTTACGGCATCAGACTTGACAGCCCTCTAATCTGGTCCTGTTCATGTCCAGGATCTGGTGTATGTTTCCTGATAACATGTAAAACGTTACACTTTCTTGATGCATCTGTTGTAGATTTTGTGAATGGTGGGACATACGCTATTTTCATATGATATATTAATAATTACATGTATAACTATGATGTCCAAAAAGAAAATAACTTTTATCTATTACATAAATATTAAAATACTTTAGTATTTTCACTTTAGGATTGACCCTAGACATTGGCAGTGATGTGGAACTAAACACCATGGCAAAATTCCATCCCAACCTCCAGTTCTCACTTGTGACTGCTGGGGATTTCAGCAGAGGTTTGGTGTGCAGCACTGGGTCTTGCTGTGTTAGTGGTCAGATCCTGGCTCTATAAATCTTCCTGCAAGAACACTATCTTAATGATTCTGTTTCCAGCATAGCACTTTCATAGTAGTTTGAAAAAATTGCAGGAAGGAGAGTGCCTTTTTCTTCCTCTACAGTATGAAGAAGATGGGGGTTTGGTTGGAGGGGTTTTTTTAATTGTGTTTTAAAGTTTAGACCTTGAAGCAGGTATTGGGAGTGATGAACTCTGTAATCAGATCCTGCTCCACTCTTGGGCAGTGTTGT